ATGACCCAGCTCGTGGAAAACAGGAATATTTTCAGAGTCACGAATTATGGCATTCTCTCTCCTGCCAAACACACACACAAAACCACACACATACATAAACTCACACACACTGACCTAGTTTTCCTACTTGCTGTGACTAAAAAGGACTCCATAGAACATAATGGTGCCATCTTGGCCAAAGGGTGTGTGAGCTTGTCTTGAACACAAACACAATGTCTGTATGGATGTTTTTGTGCTTGGACATTTCTTTGTGGATAAGTGATATTTTTGCCTTCCTTCCTGCCATACTTTATTACAAATGTGCAGAATGTTGCCCATGGTGTTAATAATTGGTCCAAGAGGGTTTAGGTGCTCCCTACCATCTCCATGTGCTTGATACAATTCTGGGAGCTCCCCTCCATGGATTCCTATAGGCCATGCATTTTATGTATGTTGCTCACTGCTATCTACTGAGCATCTAGTATCACCAGCATCTAGTGCTTAGCATTTATGTGGTACTCAAGAACCACTTAGGGGACCAAATGACTGGTGGGAGGTGTATCTGGGGATAGGGCTTGCCCGTCATGTCTTGGGATGGATCCATCCTAAAAGGGGAGGGAAGGAGGCCTGATAGGTATCCAACTCAAACTGTCTAGTGGAGATCACTAAAGGCTTCACCTCCGGAACCTGAGCTCTGCCTTCATGGCTTCCAGAAGACAAGAAGTGGAGGTGTAACCTCACAAATTAGGTCCTGGAGGACACTTCTGGGTTACTGGAGCTTCTTTCAGCACTTTCCGATGGATCCCCCACCCCTGCCTCAGTGGGCAGTGATTGGCCTTGTGAGTCTTTGGGGGGCTGCTGTGTTCAGAAGTGGCCCTGGGCCCTCAGAACCTCATGCATGCTGTGGCTTTAGAATGTACTCAGAGAGGTATTGACTGAGCTGGGCCTGCTGCAGATGCAACGTACCTTCTCTGGTGTAACTCTGTGGAGATGAAAAACTAATAATAATAATAGTAATACTATTAACTACTGTACTAATTTTCCATGGCCACTGCAATACCACCACAAACTTTGTTCTTAAAAGAACACCCATTTATTATCTCACAATTCTGTAGGTGGATTCAGAAGACTGGATGGAATCTACTGGGCTCTCCACACATGATCCCCAAGGTTGAAATCAGGTTGCAGCTATTTGGGCTCCTGTCTGAAGATTCTGGGGGAAAATCAACTTAAAAGTTCATTCAGGATGTTGGGAAAAATCAAATTCCTTGCACCTCCAAGTCTGAGGCAGGCTTTCCTTTGCTGACTGTCAGCTGGGAGCTGACATCTGCTCCTCTGGGCTTCCTGTATTCTCTCTAACACAGTTGTCTCCATCTTCAAAGCAGTAACAACTTGTGGAGTCTCAAACTTGGAATCTTTCTCTGCCAGCCAGAGCAAGCTTGCTGTTTTTAAGGGCTCATGTGATTAGGTTAGGCCCACTGAGATGATCATTTTCTGTCAACTGATTAGTAACCTTAATTGCATCTGCAAAATCCGTTTTGCTACAAAACGTAATATAGTCAGGGAAGTAACAATAGGGGACAGAAAAATATGATGGGGACCAAATTCAGCTTGCTGTCACTCGAGTCCATTGAGGTCACTCCATATACTGGCCTCAAAGTTTTCAGTTTGAGCTTGCAATTGTATGTTATAAAATAAAACTATTATACATGTACATAAGTACCTTTTGTTCTACAAAATATAAATTCTAAGAAATACTATCTGCAAAATAAACACATAAAAACAAAGTTCAGGCCAGGCATGGTGGCTCACACCTGTAATCCCAGCACTTTGGGAGTCCAAGGTGGGTGGATCACAAGGTAAGGAGATAGAGACCATCCTGGTTAACATGGTGAAATGCTGTCTCTACCAAAAATACAAAAAATCAGACAGGCGTGGTGGCACGCACCTGTAGTCCCAGCTATCTGAGAGGCTGAGGCAGGAGAATCACTTGAACCCAGAGGAAGAGGTTGCAGTGAGCCAAGACTGTACCACTGTACTCCAGCCTGGGTGACAGAGCAAGACTCTGTCTCAAAAACAAACAAGAAAACACATTTCAATCTATCTGACTAATTATTGAACATATTTTTATTCTTTTGCTGCTAAGGTCATCATTAGTTCTAGCCTTTAGTTAATATACGCATGCATACATACATACATTTCAGTTGATTAGGCAACTTTAAAATTTATGAGTAGCTGGAGTTTGTAAAAACCAGTTTGCCACTTTTTCATGAGAACCTAGTTCTCTTCTTTTCAACAAGGAAAATATTTACCCTTTATAATGCTCATCTAGTAGGCAATAAAAATTGCTGTGTGTTTCCTATTCATCCCTATCTGAGTGGGGGTCTTTATCGTCATTACTCTGTCTCCACTGTGTACACAGAGCCACATCCAGCCACTATGGGGAAGAGTACACATGACCGACCCCACACTGCAGATCATTGATGTGGATGCATTACTAGATAATGCTTTGGCTGGCTCCTCACGTCTTCTTCTCTGGAGATACAGTGAATGTGCTCTACATGAGGGGAAGAGAGAAACATGAACTTTGGTGACCTAAAGGCCACTCTGTAGCAGAGTCTATGCTATATGTTCACCAAGCCCAATTCACTTTCCCCTTGGACACAACAAAATATTGCATCCCTTGCAGTTAGTTGGGGCCGCATGAGTGAGTCTGCATCAATACAACATGAAGAAAAGTCATGGATGCCATGTTTGTACTTGGCTATGTATATTCTCTGTATGCAATCCTCCTGTCTCTCTTCTCCATCTGTAGCAACAATGGAGACTACATGTCAAAGAAAATGGCATCATTAAACATAATTGTCTAGCACCTGCCACATTGACATATAGACCCATTCTAGCTCATTCGTAGCCCACAATAGGAACTAGGAATTATCTGTTGTAACCCAGGAAATGCTGTAAAAACTATAAGCAAGACCCTCTTCCTGGATACATCTGGGACTCCATTGCTCCCCTCCAAGGTTTGACCAGAGAGAGTGGTAGTGAATAAACTTCTATCCCATTCCTTTCCTCTTCTATTTCTCTCTGCTACTGAGACTTAGCCCAAGAACCAGAATGGCTTTTAACCTGTTTTCTGATTGATAAGAACTGCCACCATTGATATTCTTTTTTCTATGTGTGCAGTGGGGTAGGAAATAGGCAAGAGAACCATGAAAAAAAAGTAAGATTTCAAAGCACAGGAAACACATCAGGTTAAATTTCAATTTTTTTTAGCCCAGTGAGAACAGAAATATAGTGATTAATAGTGAGTCAATGGGTCTTTTATAAGCCAAAGTATAAGATTATATTCATAGGATTATAGGAATCCACTGATGGAAATAATATGACTTGTACTTTTAGACTAAATGTATATTTGGCTTTATTTTTGGCCCACACTGACTGAAGAATTAAGTACAACATTAATGTCAGTTCCTTAAGAAGGGTCTGTAGAAGTTGGATGATTACATAGAATATATGCAGTATCTCCCTTTAAACTTCCCCCAAAGTTCTAAGTCATAGGAAAAATAGCTTCTACTCTCTCAATTCTTATTGTAAGAATTCTTATTGTTACATGTAAGAATGAAAGAGACCTTGGGTCCTAGGACAATGCCTAGGAAATAAGATCATGGAAAGAACAATGGCCAACTGAGAGTAAATTAAACACAGAGTGGACAGGACAGGCACAGGAAGCACACCATCCCATCCAATCACTGCCTCAAAGTCAGGTACAGAACGCAGGTCTGTAGTCTCCTTCAAGTGTTGTATTTTTTGTTTGTTTGTTTTTTCATGGAGCATACAAAAGTTGAATATCTAACTACCATTTAACTATTTATCCCATTAAAAATAAAGGGTTTGGCCGGGCGCGGTGGCTCAAGCCTGTAATCCCAGCACTTTGGGAGGCCGAGACGGGTGGATCACGAGGTCAGGAGATCGAGACCATCCTGGTGAACACAGTGAAACCCCGTCTCTACTAAAACTACAAAAAACTAGCCGGGCGAGGTGGCGGGTGCCTGTAGTCCCAGCTACTCGGGAGGCTGAGGCAGGAGAATGGCGTGAACCCGGGAGGCGGAGCTTGCAGTGAGCTGAGATCGGCCAGTGAGCTGCACTCCAGCCTGGGCGACAGAGCGAGACAGACTCCGTCTCAAAATAAATAAATAAATAAATAAATAAAAAATAAAGGGTTTTTTGTTTTGTTTTTTGGAGACAAGGTCTCCCTCTATGCTGTCAATGTTTTTAGAGCCTTTCACGTGGTTCTGATGATGCAGGCTCCAATTTGAGGAGGCTGAGGAAGGATATTTAGATGGGCATGAGGGAGGAACTGCATTTACAAGAGGTCATAAGAATCCGAAGACAAGTTTCGATAGCAGGATACATTTATTTTCTTTTTGCTTCTAATTTTAAAATAAAACTACTTCTCTTTTTTTAAGATGGAATTTCACTCTTACTGCCCAGGCTAGAGTGCAACAGCACTATCTTGGCTCACTGCAACCTCCGCCTCCCAGGTTCAAGCGATTCTCCTGCCTCAGCCTCCTAAGTAGCTGGGATTACAGGTGCCCGCTCCATGACCGTCTAATTTTTTTTGTATTTTCAATAGGGATGGGGTTTCACCATGTTGACAAGGCTGGTCTCGAACTCCTTACTTCAGTTGATCTACCTGCCTCGGCCTCCCAACGTGCTGGGATTACAGGCATGAGTCACCGTGCTCAGCCAAAATAAAACCATTTTCTTGTGTATATAATAATGCATAAAAAACAAATTATTAGGAAAAATACGCTATTTTCTTGTGTGCACATATTTTATCCTAAAGATATACCCAAAATCCCAATTCAAAAGTTAAATCCCTACAGAAAAACTGAAGAATTCTCCATCATTCCTGTCGAGGAAACATTATTAATATCCATATTATCGTTGCTATTTTTAAACCATAGTATTTTGCAGAGAACCTGATTATATCCCTTAATAATTGAGAACAAAAATAATAATTTTGAATGTTTATTACATATTTCTTTTGAAATTTTCAATGGCATAGTGCATTATTAATCTGCAAAATATTTTACAATGGTAATATCTATGCACACAATAATATACACAAACATGTAGGAGGTGTGTGTTCACATTTTTGGAAACGGACAGAACAAAGGGGAAGAAGCCTGCACCGCAATAGTCAGGGCAGAGACAGGCCCCTCTAGGGCTGAATTTGAGGTCAGCACCAAATGTGTCCAAAGCTGATCCGGGCCTTCTGCAGAAAAGAGGCTAAACTCATGTACCCACCTGGCCTCACTTTCCTCCTGTCCTCTGTGAAAGAGACAGGAGAATAATGATCCCTTAGCTGCCATGTAGCAGCTGTGGCCCTTGGGCAAGTAAGTCCCTTTCCTGCTCTGAGCCTCCCACTTTCCCAAGGTTCTGAGCCACAGAGCGAGGCTAGACCTGAGGGGGACATGGAGACACCACACCTTCCCATGAAAAGCAGTGGGCATCCGTCACCACCTCCCACAGCATGCAGTTAGCCCGTTTTCCAAACTGCCATGATCTGTTTCACAGCCCGGTGTAGTGGGGGAAGAACAGGACTGTGCTGGGGCTCCTGGCTGGATGCCCGCTCTGCCTTTTGCTGCCAGCAATGCCTTGGCCAGGACACAACCCCTGTGTCCCCAAGTTTTCTCCTCTGTCATATGGGAACGATGATCTCATAGCGTTATGGGGATGATTAGATGGAACAACAGCAAGGGTATAAAATTGTGCCCCGCGTAAGCAGTCAGCGGTGTAATAGGTCAGGAGAGGGTGACCTTCAGGGCTCAGCAGTGATCGGGAGAGGTGATCACAATTAGCGACTGGAGAGAGCCTCTAGGTCTTGGGAAACACTGGGTTTTGGCACAGGTGGTGGTTTCACAGGTATTCAGTTTGAGACAACATACACATCACATGCTTAGATACCCAGACTAGAAGTTTTAGTTTTGTTTTGCGCAAGACATGAGAATTAGAAAACGATCCTGGGAAAGGTTCAGGCCTCTGTAGGCTGAGATGGGGCCCAGGACTATGTCTCTGAGGAGGAAAGAGGAACCCAGTGAATTTTGAGGAGCACAGGGGAGCAGAGGGAAATTGCACTGTGTGTGCGTGTGTGCGTGTGTGTGTGAGCGCACACACTGCGGGGCTGGAGGAGGAAATCAGCAAGGCCCAGAGAAGGGCAGAAGGATCTTCAGGCCCGAAGGGCTGCTGCTGCACGTGGCTGGATGGCAGCACAGCGGCCTGAGGTTCCTGGGTCATTTTTGTCCCCTCTTCATGCTCATGGACTCTTGATGACTGTCCACAGCTCTGAGATGTGGGCCCTGCAAGCTGGAACCAAGCATGCTCTCTGCCCGTTTCTGAGGCAGTCGTTGGGACTGTGAGGCCGTGGACCCCTGCCAGGCTCGCCTGTCCCCGGGACACTCAGGATGCACTGCGGCCTCCTGTCTCCTGCAGGCACCTGCACAACCCTCCTTTTGAAGGTAATTTCAGGAGTTGTTACAGCAACACCTGTGCACTGAGGCGGACGACAGGGCCACCACAGAGGTGACACTGTGTGCAGGGAGGGCAGAGGGGAGTCGCCTGTAGCTTTGCTTCCTGCACCCCCAGGGAGTTGCCACTCATAGTGGGCTCCACCCTCCCCCCGCCAACATGTTCCCTATCATCCTCCAACAGCCACTGACACCGTGCCCAGGGCCATCCTCACCGCTGAGTCCTACACACACCAGGGACCATCGGTCACCCCATCACTTTGAGTTTCCTTCTGTCTGGGCCACATCCAGATTCTGGGATGTTTTCCACACTCAACCTCACTTTGTCTTTGACGTGCTATGGCCTAAATGTCAGTGTCCCCCAGATTTATATGTTGAAGCCTAATTCCCAATGGGGTAGAAAGAACAGGTGGGGCCTTTGGGAATGCCCTGAAACCAGACGGACATTCTCAATAATCTCCTCCTGAAGGAGGTTTAGTGCTCTCATCAAACAGGCTCCAGCAACCTCCCTTGTCCCCTTCAGCCACATGAGGACACAGCTGGAGGCACTGCCCTAAGGAATGGGTCCTCACCAGGCACTAAATCCTCAGGCAATTGATCTTGGACTTCTCAGCCTTCAGAACTTTGACAATACATTTCGGGCGTTAGTAACTCCCCGGGCTAATGTACTTTGTTAATGTACTTTCCCTTCTCACCTGACGTCACTTCCAGGATCCACCCCTCACAAATATTCACCCGTTGAAGGAATGCTGTGGGTGAAGGGGCCAGGAGAGGCCCTGTAAACTGCTCACAGGCAATCAGAGGTCCCTCAGAATGGGGAGGACAGCAAGCACGACCAGAATCTATCAATGATGCACGACACACAGGACTCCAGCAGACCCTCACAGAAAAGGATCAAAGAGGGGAGGCAGGAGAGGGTGAGAGCCTCCTGCCCAGAACAGAGCAGTGGCAGAGGATGCAGGGAAAAGAGCCAACAAGAAGAAAGTGAGCCAGAAGATGCATCTCACAGGCCCAGAGTGGCTCTTGCTGTGTGCAGAGCCCAGGAACACCAGAAATCAGAGCTGTGTATACGGTCCAGAGGGATATTGACACTCTGAAGAACGAGTCAGTCATTGACCACATCCTGCATCACCAAACAGGGGCCTTTTCCAGAGTGAAGGCAAGGAGAGAACGTATTCACCACCCAAGAATGTATTCACCACCGAGGTGAACACACAAGATTTGTGGGACTGCCAGGCCCACCTTTTCTCACAGAGGAACAGGCTGAAGCCCCATTCTGCAGGTTCCAGCAGGCTCCCAGGTTGGGGCTGTGATCAAGAATAGGAAGGTCACACTCAGGGTCGGAAAGGCCCAGAAAGCTAGGAGGTCCCTCCGTCAGCTACTGTGCCCCAGGACACCCCCGTCCACACATCCCAGTGCCTCCTGCCCCAGGGAGAAGAGTCTCTGGGCCCAGGACCCGAGGTCTGCAGAGACTCAGGAGACACAGAGCCCTGGGGTTCACCACAAGCTTCATCCAAGGGTAAAATGCAAACCAGGATGAGGCATTTGATTCAGGGTCCTCCTGCACTGAGAAGAAGGAAGGACAAGAAGAGCCATGGCCAAAGCAGGGCGAGTCAGGATGACGCACAGGCCGAGCTGCAGGCACAGCCACCTCCGTGGCCGTAACCCGGGGATGCCAGGTTCCTCCGGCCACCACCTCCCCATACTCCCTAGCTGGCTTGGGAGGAGGCTTTCCATCACTATCCCGAAATTCTGCTCCAACAGTAGGCATATAGAGCTTCTGACTCTCTAGAAGCAACGTCTGCATACACCGAGACAACTTGAATGACCCCCACGTAGCGCGGCTCTCTAGTGGCGCCCTCTGTCTGGCCCCAGCTGGACTTCTGTGTCTCTTCTATCAGCCATGCTGGCTGCCGTCGAGGCAGTGCCTGGGTTTAAGGGATCCCAGGACTTTGTGCTCAGAGTGTGCAAGGCTCCACCTCACCCTTCCTGAGCGCCTGCCTGGGCTGCCCACACCCACCTGCACTGGGGAGGGGCAGAGGCGGCCACACCCATCCACATCTACCTCTTCCTCTGGGCCAACTGTTCACGGACCAATCACTCAACATACCACCCGTTCTTCATACATTTCCAAAAGAAGGAATGAAGAACACGGTGGCATGTCCAGAAGCCTTTTTCTTCTGGAGGAAAAACAAAACTTTGACCAACGACATAGATAAACCAAATGTCTGCCCCGCTCCCTGACAATCCTTCACTTTCTGCAGCCGCGTGCAGAGGGGGACACGGACCAGGCCACTGAGGCTTCTGTGAAAACCAATCTCTCAGTCACCCTGAAAGATGGCTAAGAGCCATGGAGCTTCCTATTTCACCAAATGTGGAGGGGACGTTTGGGGGTGGCGGGCCCTGCATTCAGATAGGAAAGAAGAAACAGGACCCACTGCTGGGATCCAGGGCCAGCGGCCCCCAGGAGTCCCTGGGCACTCAGCTGGAGACGGCAGCCCCTGCATTGCCACCCACGGTGCAGCAGTCTCCCTGCTGTTCCCTTCTGTCCATCAGGACCCATGGAACTGGGCACCCGGCTCTGCGGTATGGAGAGCACACAGGAGGCCTGGCTCCTCCTCACCCCTGACTCCACAGAAATGAGTCTCAACTCAAGGTCCACTTAAAGGTCTTGGCTTTCTTTCCTGTTCCAACTCCAGAGAGGGTGCAGATGTCCACAGTGAGGGGATGGTTACTTGACCACCAGGTGTGGAGCGGCCCTGGCCAGCTGCTGGGAACCCCGCAGACCGAGGCTGTGGCTGGTGCAGGGGAAAGTGAGATCCTCTCCTCCTCTCTCCTGCCAAGAGTGGGCCAAGGAGAGAAAGGCCAGGGAAAGGTCCACTCACAAAACCGAGTGGGAAGGAGGGGTGACAGTCACAGCTTTCTACACGGAATCCTGCATGCCACAAGAAGTGTCCCCACTCCTCTTCAGGGCACCTACTTCCATGCTGGGAACACAGTATTAGACCTCGGCACGAGCCACATGTCCCTGCCCACCCCTCGCCCAGAAGGGATCAGGAACAGGAAGGAGTTTCCAGTGCCATGGACAAGCCCTGGGTGAGCACAGGATTCGGGGTCCTGCTGTGGCGGGTCCGGGGCTGACCAGAGCAGGTCCTAGAAGCAGGCGAGGTGCTGTGCAGTCTGCAGCGTAACTCTGAACTTGACAATGAGGTCTCCCCGCTGAGTGCATACCTTGAGGAAGGGAAGCACCTTTCCATGGAGTCTGCCAGGTTGCCCGCCAGTGGCATTCGTGCCCAGCTAGAGGACCAGCCACCACCCCTGCTGGCCGCAAATGTCCTTTCAGGCAAACACGGCACCTTGAGAAAATGAGGCAGGGAGTGAGGGAAGGGTTTGGGTAGGAAAGTCACCGGCTGGGACTGACAAGGACGCTGAGGGTACAGTGGTTCCATCTGAGCAGAAGTGTGTGCCAGGGCTTCTCTTGGAGCACGAAGACAACGCTGCAGGGATGGCTTCTGGCTTGGAGACTCCCTTTTGGGAAAGTGACCTGTGGCTCCACGCAGCTGTTCTGCGTGCGACGGTGCTGAATCTCGTCCTTGTCCTTGGTGGGACCCCTTGTGCTCAGGGTGGAGGAGCACTCTGTGACCTCCCTGGACCAGGCAGCGCCACAGGAGATCCCCTTCAGGCACTCCTGCACACAGATCTGCCCCACCATCTGCAGGAAGCGTGTGGTGCTCCCGGCTCTCCTTAGACGCTCTCAGCCGCTGAAGTCAACTCACCAAGCATCCAGGGGAGGCTTCTCCCTGTGCCTCTGGGTCATGTGGTCAAGGCCAATGCAGGGCAGAGGAGTGACTGCTGGAAAAGAAGAGCCCGGATGAAGTGCAGTCACCTACCTGAAGTCGGGCTCCCCTGGAAGTCCCCAAGAAGTAAGTCTAGGAAGAAACCACCAGAGCCACTGAGGGCCGCTAGATACCCAGTGGGGAGGGAAATTTCGGGCAGCGCGGCTCGTCTTCATGGACGGATTGCTGCAGTGCTGGGATTTCATCACACCTGCTATCTTCATTAATTTCTATTCCCATGAGAAAGTAAGATAGTAATGCAACATTTTATTTTATTATTATTTTTTAAGATGGAGTCTCTCTGTCGCTCAGGCTGGATTGCAGTGGCAAGATCTCGGCTCACGGCAACCTCTGCCTCCCAGGTTCAAAGAATGCTCCTGCCGCAGCCTCCCCAGTAGCTGGGATTACAGGCATCCGCCACCATACCTGGCTAATTTCTGTGGTTTTAGTAGAGACGGGGTTTCACCATGTTGGCCAGGTTGGTCTTGAACCCCTGACCTCAGGTGATCTGCCCACTTTGGCCTCCAAAAGTGCTGGATTACAGGCATGAGGCACCCCACCCGGCCTTAATGCAACATTTTAAAAATCAAAATTCATGCTAAATAGTCCATTGTGAACAAAATATCCACATTTTAAATCAAGTCATCATCAGATCCTGTAACTGCAACACTCTGAGAGCTGTACAAGCGTTGGGCACGGTGGGAAACGAAATCTTGGCAAATTCCATTCAACGCATAAAATTGTCCCCAAAGAAAAGGAAAAGTACTCACTTGCGGAATGTTCCAGACAGCGCCCAGGCGCACTGCACTGCCAGAGATGGGGGATCTGCTCCCCGAGGACTGGGACTTTTCCAATGAAGGTCATTTTCCAGTTTCATCTAAAAGCACAGAAGGACTTCGTGAAATGTTTGGCTTTTTCCTAAGGGAAGGAGGTGCCTACAGCGTTGCCATCACTGCTGCTGGCCACAGGAAGATGTGTACATATCGTCCCGCCGTAAGATCGTGTTTTGAAAGGGGACGACATTGGAAATTAACTGAGGATGTAACTGCAGAAAAGAGCTGATGGGATCGGGGAGCTGCTCCGATGAGTCTCCAGAGCGGCTGGGTGACCGCAGGAGCTCTGAGTCATCAAAGACCGGGCCCAGGGAGCCTGGAAGAGGAAGGGCCCGCTGCTCCCGGGCCACCCCGGGGCGCATGAGTTACGGGCAAAATTTCATGCCGCAACGAAGTGACTCATTTTTTTGGAACTGAGGCTGTTTCAGAACTTTTTACTCACTCTTGGCTCCGCCCCAGCGCTTCCAGGCCCCGGGCCCGCCGCAAACACCGCTGGACTTGGACCCAAAGCGGGGTCCTGTCCCGCCGGGTCTGGTCATGCGCTGTTGGAAGTGGCGGTTGGGCTCAGCGCCAGGCGCGCGCCCTCTGCTGGCCGTTGGGAAGCAGCGAGGGAAGCGCTGAGCTAGCGGCCGAGCGGTTGTCGCTCGTCCCCTCGCGGCCTCCTGCGGAATCTCTGACATTCTCCGTCCCTTGCTCTCTGCTCCTTGGCTGGGGATGCTCCATTTACATGGATTGGAATAGATCTAAGCACCACAATTACAAAATCAGTTATACGTTAATCAAAGCCTCAAAACACCAGGTAACCCATGTTCTAAATCACTGGTTGGAAGTCAAACAGGTGAGTCACGTGATAAGGAGTACCTGCCCCAACCTCTTATAGGAAAGATAATTTTGTAATACAATCAAGCTACTGATCACTGTTTATCTTTATAATACCTACCAGTTTTAAGAAAATACTATTCTGAAGAAAGTGTCACAAGATAAATTCAAACAAAAGAACAACAAATGCTATTTTATATCATTGTAATAGATCAAAGAATGTTACAATATTTATTCAAGGAATACAAATTTTCTCTAAACATTTTTGTAACTCATAATGTACAAAATATTGTCAAAATAATTCCATGATTTTGGTACTAATATTTGCCACCTGGGGCAAAATAGTTGAGATTTCTTTTTGAGCTGGGCAAACAATCTATATAATTGATTAGAAAGAGCCACAAGTATAACTTCCTCTACAGTTTTCCTGTGGGGAATGTCAAATGAAGGGAAATAAAAACATATTTTCATGTAAAGTAATTTTTTTTTTTAAGATAGGGTCTTGTTATGTTACCCAGGCTGGTCTCAAACTTTGGCCTCAAGGGATCCTTCCCCCTCAGCCTCTCACCTCTCTCACCTCCAGCCTCCAAAATGCTAGGATTACGGGCATGACACACCACGCCTGGTGGAAAAAGAGCACTTCAATTTCACTGCTAAAACCTCCCAGGCAAAGACTGTATTTCTTTGGCTTCAGATGGGGGCAAATTTTTAGAAGAACCTTTAGACAGCAATTCCCAAACAGGGACAAAGTAAATTTTCTGCTTTCATCTTCCTGATTGTGATCAAGGCTGGAGGGTGGTTTCTCCAGGAGATCTTATCTCACACACCACCGTGGCCCTCCGTGTCCAGCTGGTTGAAGTCTGGAGAATGTGGTGGTGGGAACAGGAGTCTTGGGTCTTCCGGATTTTGAGGTTATGTCCTGTTTCCCAAGAGAACTAGGAGCAGGTCTTTGCATTCAGGCCTGACTGAGAGGGGATACTATTCAGACATCTACTCTTCAGGTATCTCAAAGGCATGAAGATGTCCTTACTTTTAAGTCATGGCGCTAAGGCGTGTCCCAGGAAAGGGAGCGGGCAAGGTTGGAGCAGAGTGTCCCCAGCCGGGAGCAGAGAACAAGCGACGGAGAATGTCAGAGATTCCGCGAGAGCCCGCAAGGGGACGAGCGACCACCGCTCAGCCGTGAGCTCAGCGATTCCCTCGCTGCTTCCCAACGGCCAGCAGAGGGCGCGCGCCTGGCGCTGAGCCCAACCGCCACTTCCAACAGCGCATGACCATACCCGGCGGGACAGACCCCGCTGTTTGGGTCCAAGCCCAGCGGTGTTTGCCGTGGGTCCGGGGCCTGGAAGCTCTGGGGCGGAGCCAAGAGTGAGTAAAAAGTTCTGAAACAGCCTCAGTTCCAAAAAAAAATGAGTCACTTTGTTGCGGCATGAAATTTTGCCCGTAACTCATGCGCCCCGGGGTGGCCCGGGAGCAGCGGGCCCTTCCTCTTCCAGGCTCCCTGGGCCCGGTCTTTGATGACTCAGAGCTCCTGCGGTCACCCAGCCGCTCTGGAGACTCATCGGAGCAGCTCCCCGATCCCATCAGCTCTTTTCTGCAGTTACATCCTCGGTTAATTTCCAATGTCGTCCCCTTTCAAAACACGATCTTACGGCGGGACGATATGTACACATCTTCCTGTGGCCAGCAGCAGTGATGGCAACGCTGTAGGCACCTCCTTCCCTTAGGAAAAAGCCAAACATTTCACGAAGTCCTTCTGTGCTTTTAGATGAAACTGGAAAATGACCTTCATTGGAAAAGTCCCAGTCCTCGGGGAGCAGATCCCCCATCTCTGGCAGTGCAGTGCGCCTGGGCGCTGTCTGGAACATTCCGCAAGTGAGTACTTTTCCTTTTCTTTGGGACAATTTTATGCGTTGAATGGAATTTGCCAAGATTTCGTTTCCCACCGTGCCCAACGCTTGTACAGCTCTCAGAGTGTTGCAGTTACAGGATCTGATGATGACTTGATTTAAAATGTGGATATTTTGTTCACAATGGACTATTTAGCATGAATTTTGATTTTTAAAATGTTGCATAAGGCCGGGTGGGGTGCCTCATGCCTGTAATCCAGCACTTTTGGAGGCCAAAGTGGGCAGATCACCTGAGGTCAGGGGTTCAAGACCAACCTGGCCAACATGGTGAAACCCCGTCTCTACTAAAACCACAGAAATTAGCCAGGTATGGTGGCGGATGCCTGTAATCCCAGCTACTGGGGAGGCTGCGGCAGGAGCATTCTTTGAACCTGGGAGGCAGAGGTTGCGTGAGCCGAGATCTTGCCACTGCAATCCAGCCTGAGCGACAGAGAGACTCCATCTTAAAAAATAATAATAAAATAAAATGTTGCATTACTATCTTACTTTCTCATGGGAATAGAAATTAATGAAGATAGCAGGCGTGATGAAATCCCAGCACTGCAGCAATCCGTCCATGAAGACGAGCCGCGCTGCCCGAAATTTCCCTCCCCACTGGGTATCTAGCGGCCCTCAGTGGCTCTGGTGGTTTCTTCCTAGACTTACTTCTTGGGGACTTCCAGGGGAGCCCGACTTCAGGTAGGTGACTGCACTTCATCTGGGCTCTTCTTTTCCAGCAGTCACTCCTCTGCCCTGCATTGGCCTTGACCACATGACCCAGAGGCACAGGGAGAAGCCTCCCCTGGATGCTTGGTGAGTTGACTTCAGCGGCTGAGAGTGTCTAAGGAGAGCCGGGAGCACCACACGCTTCCTGCAGATGGTGGGGCAGATCTGTGTGCAGGAGTGCCTGAAGGGGATCTCCTGTGGCGCTGCCTGGTCCAGGGAGGTCACAGAGTGCTCCTCCACCCTGAGCACAAGGGGTCCCACCAAGGACAAGGATGAGATTCAGCAGCATCGCACGCAGAACAG